AATTAAAGTTTATACGACCTGTCATGTGGTAGCTATTCTATCTCACCAATAACATTTTGACGTCGACGTCTCTCGTTCAGCCACCGTTGCACTGCCCCGGATTCATTATTCGTTGCCGTCTCTCAAGGAACGCGGAAATTAACCCTTAATTCAGATCGACTAGTCCGCTTGTTCCGCTACTCGTTCCGACACCCGCTGCCTATTTCAGATCGACTCCCCCGCTATCCGTCCCAAAACCAACTGTCCTCATTTCTCCGTGTCGCAATCCCACCATGACACGCATTGCCTCCCCGCGCCCCTGGTCCTCCTTACTTTTACTATTTTTTTTGCTAACGACCCTTAAAGCAAATCTTAAACAAGGCACTGTCCCATGTCGTGCCCTGTCTAATAAACTTATTAATTTATTGTTTTAACTCGACATCTTCTCAGCTTGAGTTCTACCTAAGTGACACCACGTCTAATAAAGTATACTAATTTATGTTACCTAAATAAACAATACTTAGAAAATAAGGACCCTACAATATCCGTAAGTGGCATGTGAACGAAATACGAAATATTAGAAACACGTTTGAGAGTTGTAGCCGTTTTTTATGAAGTAATTATTTAAGTATCCGTTCCACGAACAAATCTTAATTCTACTAATATGCACTTACTATATACTTATAACATCACGTCACTTCTATATATTAGGTATTAGATTTATTTATCTAATTTTTATGGAACAATCAACATACCTAGTATGTGATCGTTACAAGCCGCGTTGTGCGAATCAATGAAGCTATGTGTCTATTATGTATTTAGAACACGCTCGATATACATATGTGTAGAAGCAGTTTCTACTACCTACATCATGCGTATGTTGTAACCTTATTGTGCCGATCAATGAACAGCCAAAACGGGTCCATTAAACCAATAGGTTTTGCTGTCGACGTTACTATCAGTCTTTATTTAAATGATTGATGCCTGATGGAAAATAGAAGGACGCCATACTCTTTTTTATGATATTGGAATAGCAAACAAACTGAGCATTTGATGGTAAGCGGTAATCCTCGTCTTTAGGGGGGAAAGGAGATTATTAGTAATGTGGACTAATGACCTCATTACTAGCAATTACTAGCAATGTACCATGCGTAATAAATTCCTGGTGAAATTGTTACGATGAGCTAACTGACTTGACCTCATGTTCATCTTATCATCCTCCACTGGTGTCTCGCCAGCGTAAACCGTTAGCGCAGGTGGATGTACCATTTCATTATCATCCATAAAATAAAAATTACATAATTTCCCAATTTTCAATAATTAAACTTTATCGCATGTACAGACGTATTTTATTATTTAAATTTAAGTTATTGCTTTTCTTCATTTTTTAAAACAATATAGATTTACATAACTCAATTTTACAATTTTCTAAAATATGTTACTGCTTAGTATGAACGTTTTTTTATAAGTTGTTCAAAAAGAACTGGTAGATGAAGAACGTTCTATGTTTACACAGGAATTTATCTATACCATATACTCTTTATTTAAATCACTAACACCGAAACAGTCAAATATCCCACGAACTTGTACATTTTACTTTGTTTGCGTTACTAATGGACTTGTGACTTTGTTTGTGGGGATTTTATTTCATTTTATTTACATAGTTTACGATTTCGTGTAAACTTTGTTTTGTTAGGAGAAGAAACGCAATATATTACTTCTTATTTTTATTTTACGGATATCCTAGGATGAATTAGGGCAACAAAATAATTGCAAGAGAAAGAAATATTGAAATACCATATATCAATCAATATTACACTTAATTCTCATACAGTTTATTATATTTTTACAGAGTATGTAATATTATGTTATCTGTGGTTGTAGTATTGAAAATCATATTTTTGGCTTATGCTTATTATGAAATAGTCGTCTTTAGATTCAATAAATTTCCTTTTAAAATTTGATTAAAAATCTAATCTGCTATTTGGCATCAGTGTTATCATTTTGTCATGTAAAAAGAAAGAGATTTAAAAGTGCATTGATTTATGTATATATTCTATTACTATTGCGGCAAATACTACTGTAGTTGCCTCAAGAGAAATAGAAAGCAACAATAATATATCTAAAGTTATGTTTTATTTGATTTTGATAGGTAAAAATAAATCATATATCATTATCGTAGAGCTGTAGAGACTATATTTCATATTTAAATAACTTAAAGATTCCTACCATAATTGAACCCTTGGGAAGTTGTACCTATATTATAGAATATTCAATCGTACTAATCGTAAAAAAATTAAAACTATTATATACTGGCAACAGTATATAATAGTTTTCATTTTTTTCTTGGACTATTAACAACGGCGCCATCTAATCCCACAGTAAGCAGAGCTTGTGTTATAGTTATACTAGACAACTGATAGAAACTCTTAGATATTTTTTTTTGTAAATACATACATAATATACATAGAAAACACCCAGATCGATACAAACAAGTGTACTCGTGAATACAAATGTTTGCACCGTGCGAGGAATCGAACCCGTGACAATCACAGATAAGGCGGTGTGGTAAACCGCTAGACCACCGAGGTTTTTATTTATTTTAAGATATTTATATATTTAAGATCATTCTTTCTTCAAATAGCGTCATATTTAGCGACTCTTTACATTCAGTTACGAATAAAACTTGTTTTGTTAATCTGTCTGATACTACTAAATCTCTGTCGTCCCCTCCATACTTCTATATTGCCTTAATATTGTTTTCATTTAGCGAACCTATTTTTACATTATTCTGCGATGGCAACTACCCGATACTATTTCTTCGTAACGCTTACTTAGCTAAGTGACACCCGTTTATCTATGTCTTTGGACGAGGCGACGAGGCTATAAGAAACGTCTCTAATAACGGTCAACCCTATTTATTTAACTTTTGTTGCCATGCCTCTATACCTAGTCAAGGTTGTGTAAAACGACTTCATATTATGTAGCTCGATTGTATAGAATTGTATACATGTATACACTAGAATATTTTATATACTAGAATATTTATAAAGTCTAGATTTTTCGAATCTGTTACAGCCTGCTCATTTCGACTAGTGATTGTGGTGGAAGTAAACACATATTACGAATATTTAGTTCTAACTATCTGTTTTCTTAGCTTTTTGATTTGTAACATAATTCCTCTGGATTTTATACAATCTGAGAGGGATTTGGCAAAGGGACAAAAGTGTGTAACAGGAAACCGGAGAAACGTGTGCTATTTGATTAGACTAATGAACGCACGGTGGTGTATAATGTATGACCTATTTTCGAGAGATTGGTATTTAGATCAGATATCACAGAATATATACGACTATTGTAAGGTTTATTTATTTTTAATTTGTACACATAAGTACCATTACATTACATTACTAGTACGTACCATTTAGATTTACGGATGATTGCTCAGCGTCGAAATATTAGAAACTCATAAAAATATTACAGCTGAAAAACCCCGTTAATAATGTTTTTGAAGTATCGTCCTCATTTCCTTTTCTTTTTCACATATCATTTGGGGCTGGCGTAATAGTATGATTTTCTCTTCCATTCATCTCTGTTCACAGTCCTCCATCTCTTTTTCTCTCCTTCTACTCTTATAACCAATCACTTTCTATAATTATGTATTATACTTTCCTTCAAATATTATCCTTTATACGTACATATATATATTCCTGTTACATATATATATGTACGTATTACTATATATATATAATATAAATATTGTAGTTTACATAGGGCTTATTATTAAGATGGAGTCTAATTAGGTGAGGGATAATAATTAAGTACCCACAAAAACAAATCAAACATTTAATAAACCATTTTATTATATTCATTTATTATTTCTTTTTATCATATTCCACAATAACGGAACTTTATTCATCTTTGTTAGTATATTTTTACTCCACAAATTTACTTATGATACAACCTTTATATATATAATACACCAATAAAGTAAACTAGCTACAGGTACGTGAAATTGTATACGTTAAGAAAAACATTTACTTTATAAAAAGGATGATATATGTTTCTGTTTTTTTCTGTGGAATTATGGACTAGATCTCATGTTTATTAACTATAAACACATAGATATTTATATTATTTTTAATAATGCTATGGACATGTTGCAGTTTAATAAAAATTAATATAATTTATTTTTATTGTAAGTGAACTTTTCCATTAAACATTATAGGTATATATATAAAACATGTGTTATCACGTTAGTAGTATATGTTCACGTTTACATAATCAGTTGTCAAGTTATATATGATTTTAAGATGTAGATCACCTTTTTAGTTACTCATTAAAATTGGTTATGTGTAAATTACGTATTAAAGTAAGGATAAAAGCATCCTTTGCATTTTTTAAAATTACGAATTACTGTGAATTTAACTTCCTATCTTCTTGATGCCATTGGAAAAAAATAGAAACGCTTATTTAAATTTACTACATAAACACAAATACAATACATATGTCTGTGTATTTAGATATTTTTATAGTGGTAAAATAGGATAACCATACTTAGATATTCTCAATGTCTGAATTAAGTTGTAATTTGTGACCACATTAATAATTACAAGTTACTACTATAATACGGATATACTACAGTGCTAGAATTATAGGAACAATATCTTTTCCCATAGATATAATATAATGGTGACGATATTTATAGATAAAATTCGAAAGTATGGGGCTAGTCTTAAATTACGTCATACGAGTTTCATCATTTTATGACCTCTCCCCCCGTCTTTGTCACAGTTCACACAGTGTCACGTGGTATCCTTTCGTCACATATTTTGCAATTATACACGTTCAAGTGCTTCGGTGTAAATTCGTTAGCAAAACATTTTTAACCTCAATTTTGTTCATATGAAGTTAGGAATATTTTCCGTTATTCGTTATTTTTTTAAATTACCTATTTGAATCGGGTTTTATATAATTATTTTTTGAAAAATGACGTCCCGAAATTATAATTAATTATATACCTTGCCACATAATGTCACACTTTATCAACCTCCTTCCTTCCCTGCACGTGTGACGCAATTTATAAACCGCCCCTGTCTCTATACTAGTTTTATATACAGTAGATATACAGAAGTTGTAAACAGTACATAACATAAAATAAATAGTTTTCAGTCTTTATAGATAATTTTGATCAAGGCATATAAACTTGTTGAAGTTTTCTATGACAAATGGAAGGTAAAAGGTATGGGAAATAGAAAATAAGTCTGACCGAACGTTATCAGAATTCTTCTGTTAAAAATGTATATCCCTCTGAGGGCGCTGTTATATCAAAGGGCGTTTATAGGTATTTTTTTCAAATAATAAAATACCTTTGGTCTCAGACCAACAGTTGACACAAGCGATTTAATGTCAAATATTATAAAAGGAGAGTAAAATTTTCAATGTTGTGAATATTTGATGAGTATCTCCGGAACTTCTGCATCTATTTGAAAAAAATGTATCAAATGATACATTATACCAGGTAGTGCAGGCGGTGATTAACAGAAATATTCTGGTCACATGCAGACTTCAAATCATTTTCGAAATTATAAAATATATTAAGTATATCATACAAAAGTCGTTACATATAGTAGATTGTTACTATAATTTAATACATTCAGGAGATCATAAACACTGGTCTACACTACACACAATATTCAGTTTAATCTACTATATCTTACTTGGTGTTACGTATTGATATTATTCACAGTTATATTTTATATATTGATAGAAATATTTTTACCCTATCCTGCTGTAATCGCCACAGATTATATTAAAAATGAGTGCCAAATAGTGAGTCGCTAAGATGTATGTCGATTGTTTAGAATTGAGCTTTTTTTAATTCTGTACAATATAAGATTTTTACAACATATACAATTATATTATTTTCTACTATATTCTCATATCGACTTACCTAACCAAGTATACCACACGACATTTTTCGCATATTTATCTATTTATTCATTAATTCTACGTGAAATGACCATATCTCACTACTACGATATAAATATACAATTCGACGAACGTCCTATAAGATCTATATACACAAGTGTCTTGATACAAGGGAAATTAGCTGCCAAATGTAGGATATGTGATGCGCGAGGGTGTCTGGACGCGTGGAGGCGAGACGGGAACAGTTGGACTCGCTCAGATGGCGGGCAGCAGCGGGCTGGGGGAGCGCGGCGGCCGCCGCACGCTGCCGCTCCACGACTCGGCCATCATATCCTCGTCTCCCTGCACACGCGCACTCGACATACTCTCAGCATCACAGTCCTCAACTTCCCAACTCTGAGATCGAGATTTTGAATTATTTAACTTAGAGTAGGGTAGCTATTGGATCGCTAAAGGGCCACTATCACGGAAGAAGGAAATTCGTAGTCGCGACTTATTTGTAGACTAAAATTATCATGCATAGACGATAGTACTACGAGACGTGAAGGAAACTAAGGGGTATACGTGCGGGGCAGTGCGAGGTGATTTAAACCACGTATTACGGTGTCAACACTTACATATAAGAAGTAATTACCATCATCGTGTGAGGCGTCGGTGGACCAGGGGGAGCGGGGACTGATGGAGCGGGAGGCGCCATGGGTGGGGGTGGCGCGGGAGGCGGTTCTGGTGACGCAGCAGCGGGTGAGAACGACGATGGTGCTAGTGGTGACTGAGCTGCAAAATGGGGGCCAAATTAGATACTATTTGAATAAGTATATTAACCATATTAATTGAATTAACCTTCCATTATGATATATGTAAGTAAAATTTACTAAATCCAAGTTTGAAGAAGTTATATAAACTTAAGAACTTTTTTAAGACATAAGAAATACTAAGATCTGAGATTTCTAAAAATTATAGAAGGATATTGTCTATTCTGATGAATAGACAATATCCATTATTTGGAGTAAATGCAGTATATCGTCTACTTCCATTGACTCCGCCGTCGTATCAGTTATTACGATTCATTTATTCATATTCTTTGACAAAGACATCTTTTTTTCAATCATCATCACCGATGTTTCCACATCAACGTTCATATTTAATACCTTCTTGAAGGAAATCATTATAATAATTATAGGAATGGTTGCACTCACCAGCTGCAGTGAGAGCTAGCACAAATTGGCTCCAATGCACACAGCAGCCGCAGCACAGCTGAAGTGCTGCTCGACGCAGAGCCCGATGGAGGGCCATAAATAGAAGAGGGTTCACTGCTGCATGCACGTAGGAAATGTGCAACGTAATTTGGAAGTACATCTGTTAACAAAATCATTTTCGTTTAAAAAATAGATTAAACTCAATGCTAAAAGTAGCCGGGTGACTTCGAATTAATGCTTGTGATAATTTATTCTCGAGGGAATAAATATTAAAGAAAAAACTTGATGTTATGTTGCTAAAATATGATTTTGATTTAATTTGATTTGATATAGGCCTTTGTTAGGCTCTGAATAAGGTTGCTGCTCCTGTGTTGAATTGTTTAGTACACTATCAAGAATTCTTCACTGCCGGTTAAGCAGTGAAGAATTCTTACAGGTTCATCTATAAGTTCATATTATAAACTTCACTAGCCGTATAACAAGCAAGCAATTTTATTGTCATTCATTCATTTCATAGATTGAACTCAAACGTGTAAGTATTTAGATGACTGTTACTTTGAATATTCGAAACTTTGACACTCTCATCTCTATACCTTTGTGATGTAGCGGTTTAGCAAACTGCCTTACTTCTGATGGCTGCGGGTTTGTTGTATTTAAGAAAAAAAAATGGTAACCCTAGTACCAATAATAACAGCTCTTCTTAATTCGGGGCTAGATGGCGCTGTATGAATTGTTCTGTATTATTATTATTTATTTTGAATAGTTCACAACTATTTTAAATGCAACTAAATAAACTGAATAATTATAAACTAACCTCATATGCTATATGTGACGTCAATGCTGGATGATGCAAAAGAGTTATGATGAACAATGGCCCCCAGAACAGCACGTAAGCAGCAGTAATGACGAGGAACATGCGCACGCGGCGTACTCCTTCACGCTCTACACGTGCTAAATAACCACGGAGGCGCCGTCCACCACCTAAAGGCAAGTTTGCACTCCCACCGGGTCTGCACTGTCCATCAGCCAATGCACCGTCTACAGTCTAGAAAATGTAAGTAGCATTACATATGTATTCAGAACAAAATACTAAAAAAGGATAAAAAAATTTAATTAAAATTGCTAAATTCAACGAAGTTTTAGGGCGAGTGTTAAGTTTTAAATTTAAAAAGAAAGTAGATCATACAGTATCAGAAGAAGTATAAAAAAATAAAGAGAAATAGTTAATTTTATTAATATTAAATAGATTTTTTAATAAGTTAAGGAAGACACTACTTTTTATTTATTTGTTTTAACAATCTAAGTTAAAGTACTAGAAAACAGTCGGTGACATTAAGGGATGATAGATACATGCCACTAAATAATGCATTCTGAAGAGAATCTAGATTAGACTAGTACCTACTAGCTATAGCATGCAAAATAATACTTACCCTAGGTCCAACGCTGTTGGGCAGAGAGTCCATACGTCTGTTGTCTCCTGCCATGCTGACAAGGGTTGTCACTAAACCAGCTACTCGAACTGCCTCTACGTTAGCCTGCATGCGATAAGATTTAAATTATCGAAAACCCTACCGTTGGATTAGTAAATTTCAGCTCTATTCCGAAAGGCAGTGAACCAATTCAAAATATCTTCAATCACGAAAATTTAAATCTTATATTCGGAATGCTGCGAAAAATATTGGCAATGTACCAAGAGAAACTCCCAGTTCGGCCAAAGTAAGATGTATGCACAATGTTGCAGCAAATTCAAATTATGTGGATGACTTCGTGATTCTCAACAAGTTTTGGACACGTTATATGTCCCTCGCAACTGTGGACTAGCAATGCACTACAGAAATTTTGTGTCATTCAAATTATCTGCTATTGCTAGTTTCAATTCGAATAAAGCGGTGGATGTGGGATGATTTTACGCAATAGCATGTGACAAATGATCATGGAGAAGTTTGGTGAAACTTAAAATAAAATGATAATGATAATGCAAAACATGTGTATCAAGCGATGATATATACTATTAACCATTTTAAACCTCTCCATGCCATCTGTTTATATATTTAGTGAACACAGTCGATTATAGTTTAAGCATAACAAACCTTGGTTAAATCTCGGTGAAGCTTCTTCAAATGGAAAAGTGTCAGCCCAACGCAGACGGCGTTCACGCCTATCCAGAGAGCATTAAGGACGTAATGCCTGAAGGGTCCTCGAACTAAAGGACAGGACGGGGCCGGACCGTAAGAATTGTAAGATCCGGCACTGGCAGCCAAAGCTCCTGATAAGAACGTTGGGCCAAGATTTATAGTGATTGATGCGAACCATATCATGAATGTACCAAAAAGGACACACTGTAACAAAAAATATATGTTATTAATTATAGTATTACAAAATAGACTTTTTTTTTAATTGATAGTGAATATGTATGAGTAGCGGTTTTTGTCATTAAACATGTCACCACGCATTATATATATTAATTCTTTTTTCTTTACAACAATTGATTAGATTATTACCTGGGGACTATCCATTAGTAACGGTGCAGATAAATCAGCTTGCTCTTCCTCATTCTCGGGGAAAATGGGGCTATCATTTAGCACAGTTGTGAGCATATTTACTGTTGACACAGTTACCTAAGACAGAAAAAAAATAGTAAACATCTAAGTGTATAGAAACAAAAGTGGTATAAAATATGTATTTACGTCAAAATAAAGAAAATATTTTCTTTGTGTGCGAAATATTTAAAATTGAAATAGAAATATCTTCAATTCGTTTCAGTTTTATGTTTTATATAATATTTCTTATAAATCTTCTTAGGTTTATTAAATTTCGACTGAACTTTGTAAAAAAACAGTGAAGAAAATGAACTCAAATAAAAATTAATGCAAATTATTTATTTATTTTAATTTACATTTAATCATAATTATAATAAATAAATTTATATAGATAAAATTATAATAAATAAGATAAAATTGCACAACGAATACTTTAATTACATATTGCCTAAAAGTGAACGGTAGTCATTTAAAAAACGTACGGTAACGGTATGGTGCGGTATTTTCATGAATAAATTTGAATAAGTATGGAAGCTAATAAAGATTTGAAAGTATTTAATTTTGATTTAAATAAGATTTAAAACTTTTTAGTGTTACTCCAGAGATTTTGTAGGCAGTGCAAAATTAAGTGTGAGAGATTACTGTTGGCTCGCCCTTATCCGTCCTTACAGAGAAGTTAAGTGCTAATAAATCACTTTTGCGGAAAGTTTTGGAGTGAGCCATGCTTTTTTGTTAACGAATTTCTTTAATTAATTTTTACCGTTGTATCCTAATGAATACGTAGTGATAAACTATAGCTAACCCGTAACTCCCTACGGTTCAGCTATATTATTTGCAAATACCAATTTTTAAGCTATAATAGTCAAATAGATTTTTTAACTTTTTGACTAATACATTTTTTATCTATTTGAGTATTATAGCTTAAAAATTGGTTATTCGATCGACTTATTATACGATATAGAAGAATGATTATCCAGTGGCCATATCCAAATTGTACAAACAAAGCAGTATTGGGGGGAGGCCTCTTATTAAGTAGATATAGATTGTAGGAAGCGGATGGATGCGTGTGGCCAGAAGAAAGACCGTAACGTTTAGTATTATTTAATTTTTGAGAGATATTTACGCCTAGCAGTGGAATGTGAATAGCTGAAATAATTATGGTGAATAATGCTATTGTTCAGTTCCCGTCTTTTGAAGATGAGTTTTTCATATTATATTGCTAATTTATTACATTACATATATAAGGTTTACAATTTCGAATATTTTAGATTTCCATAGTAATTAAATGAATTACGGAGAAATCTGCAATTAAAACCGCTTAATAGTTAGCGACCGATCACCGCAAACCCTTTTGGGATATTTTTGTTATTTTTAAATTTATATTTTAAGATACTGTTCTTTTTATATGTCATGTTATTGGATATATTTAAACTATTGCTGCAGAGGGGAAGGGGATTGTTAGTAATGTGGACTCATGACCCCATTACTAGCTATGTACCATGTCAGGTTGACCTCCACGCGGTTCCTCCTGGAAACCATCATCACCCTTCACTGGTGCCCCGCCAGCATAGCGCAGGAGGGTGCACCATTTCATTATAACCCATAAAAAAAACCGCTACTTTATTTTTCCATTGTTCGCAGCTGTAGGTATATTAATATATTGTATTATCATGATCCACGTGTTTCGTTACACCCATATTTTAACGTCTTAGGTGACAGGGCTTCATTTAAATATACCAAAGGTAAACAAAAAGAATTCGTTATATATAAATATATTAAAATCTTGTTACATACCAATAAAAGAAACGCGGTTTCAACAAGTGAACACTTGTAGACAGGTTGGCACCGGAATACTGCAATACCTAATGGTAGCAGAATAGCTGCGCGGGCGCAATCCACTACCGCTTGGTGGAATAACAGACCATGTGACCATCTGAGGAAAAACGTAACAAGATCAATGTATAATAATAATAATGACCCTGTACAATTTACACGGCGCTATCTAGTCCCAAGCTAAGCGGAACTTGTGCTGTTGTATACTTGTATATATAAGCACTTTTTGTAAAAATATACACAACATACATGAAAACACCCATATTAATACAAACAAATATAACCATGAATACAAATGTATGAACCGTGCGAGGAATCGACCCGGTCCCATCGGAAAGTATGGCGGTGTGATAAATCGCTAGACCATCAAAGAGCCAGTATGTAAAAATTGCTGTAACAATTCTTATTATTTTAAAATATAGTGTTCTGCTATAATTTGCTTCAGGCGTTAATCACATTTATAATTAATTTTGTTAAACATGTCTGTAAAAAATTAAGAAAGGAATTTTAAATTCAATCATCATGCAATTTTCTAATAAATGAGTTATATCTGTATTATTATAAATTATCCGTGAATAATTATTACGAAGATATTATTTTTTATGTTACTGGAATGAGTAGTAAGCTGAGAACTAATGTATTCGTATGTGGCATTTATCGCCTAATATGTACATGGACACCAAGTAATCATGTAACACCTATGGTAGCTCTCGTCATTAATTTCTTTTATTTTAACAAAATGCCTGTGATTATAGAACTAAACTATGGCATATCACACAGCATCATATTGTACTAAAATAAACAGAGCTCGTACTATGGGTACTAAACAATTAATAGTAATACCTAAATAAATATTTATTAAGCAATTTTTATTGTTAATACATACATAAAATAGCCTGTACTAATACTAGTTATGAATACCATAAACCGTAGTTATGAATACAAATGTTTGTATTTTGCAAGAATTGTGTCAACTACCACAAGAAGTAACGACCTGTACTAAACCACTCGACCACCGAGGTCATGAAATACATATAGAGCAAATGTTTTTATTTTAGTCTGACTCAATAATAAATCAATATCAACGTAGAAACGATAGAGACATTAAATGCTAGTAAAATATTTGTGGGCTTGCAAATAGAAAAGCTTTTCATTTTGATAAATGTCATGGGTGCCAATTATTCATTCTGCCAAACATTGGGGAAGAAAATATATAAATTCTTTATCGGCAAGCAATTTATCAACCACGTCTTCTTTTTTGGATAAAATGTTATAATAAATATAACTGACCGCGTCTGTATAATATCACTATTAGCTATTTTGAAAAGCGAATCGATTTCGATTACCTATATGTCAAGATCTTGCAATGTGGATATGGATGCCATTGTTACAAAGATTTAAAAGAAAATACATATTCGGTTAATTCTCTTAATATATATAAAAATAAAATTCTCTTAATATAAATAAATATGAATAAAAATAAATATGTATATTAAAACAATATAATGGCAACATTTTTAATGTATTTTAAAAATGTGATTTCTTTAGAAAACTCTTAAGGGGTATATAACCTAGTTTTTAAATAACTGATATTTTGAAATATTGAAAATACACCAACTAAAGGAACCAAGGTAAATATATAGGATATCCCCTGTAAAAGTCATATTTTTAATATAAATTTAAATTTATTGTTATTTAGACAGCGCCGGATAAGCTCCGAGCTTGTTTTACGAACGATCCATAATAAATATATCGCACACCTACAGTATTGGATTATCTCAAAAATTACAAACTGGAAATTCTACTCTAAAGTTTTAACTTTATGGTCTAATTTAAAAAATAGGTGAGCGGTATGTATTTATTGAAGATTCATTGAGTAAATTTAAAATAACTCATGTATTTTATTATGCTCTCATGTTATTGTTAGGAAATAGTTAATGTATGCTTATGTTCTTCTTATGTGTACAAAAATCAAGTTTATATACCTAGCCATACCATTTAACTTATACATTAACTTTAATTAACTTCCCAAAACTTTTATAACTAGCAACAAGCTGAGTGCTACCTACTTGAAATTATTTAAAAAAATAATTCAGGATACAATATATCTTTGCACTAAATTTCAGTTAAATCTGTCCAGTAGTATTTGTGTGAAAGAGCTATAAAGATACATCTATCAACACCAACTGTAATGTTTATAATAATATAATATAAAGGTACAAATGATAAAATTCTATGACACAAAATTCTAAAACTTAAAATATGTATTTGTTAAACTTGGTTGCGTAAAAAAACTAGTAAGAGAGTAAGAGGAAACTATAAATAAGTATGCATTCATGCGTATAAGAGGATCTTCATCCCATATCATGCTTACAATTTCCGCTCCAGCATCCATTTACGTAGTTTATTGGCCATTATTGAGATCTTATGATATTATTTGTAAACACGTAACCGATACATGGTGCGGTAACATGGCATTAAGGAAGGGTGTTACAATGTGGTAAGTTATTACTACTAACCAAACTCTATGATACTATATGTTATTTCGTCATTCATATCTACACATAAAAGCATATTTCTGAATAGGTAAGACTCAGGCGTTAATAGTTTACCTATCGAGAATTATGTAATGATAAATATGTTTATCATATTATTAATAACTATAGAATTAATATAAAAAGAAATAAAACTAAGCAGAACTTATAAATACTAGACAATTCATAGATCGATCCCCCGTCTACTGGCAATCGAAATTACAATGGCTTGAGTTGAGGTTCGAACCCCTAGCGGTGCCCTCGGATTAAAGTCTTATACGTCAGGTGGGAGTTGGCCTTCAGCCACTCCATAAGTTCTTCTGCAGGTGTGGAGTGCCATCTGCACTCACTCCCTATCGTCAGTGAAGCTCTTTACAACTTTACAGCCAGCTGCGGCCAACAGAATTAGAGTAGTCCGAAAAAAAAACAATTCATACACACTTTTTATTTGCATATAATATAAACAATCATAGTAACAATGCCATATTGTAAAAGCATAATATGCTAAATTATTAAAGAATACCGATATTATCACATATAGGAACAACAGCTATATTTAAAATTGTAAAGCAATAACTCAACATAGCTTTCAATTTCGTCGGATTGAACCAGCTGTTCTAAACTTTAAAATAAGGTCATCATAGCGCTGGAGTTAGTCTTTTTGGAGTTAGTCTACTGTCACTGTAGATTTAGAATGTCGACGGCCTCGGTTGCACATCGCCTTATATCCGATGGTCGAGGGTACGATTCCTCGCAAGTTAACTACTGGGTGTTTTCTATGAATTTATAAAAAAATTAATGTATGTATTTGTACATATTTTTATCACTTGTTTAGTACCCATAACATAAGCGCTGCTTAGCTTGGGTTTAGATGGAATGTGATGGATGTGGATGGATGACCGTGTGAATTATCCTAAACAAAGAAAGAAAGAATGTGTTTAGCCTAAACTGGCCGTATAATAAGAACCTGAGATCTTTGCCATCGCCTTCCAGTTGTATAAAAATAAAATATACAACTAAAATAAATCACATAAGCATCCGTTTCAATGTGGATCTGTACATATTTAATGCCAGATCTCAGGTTACAAGACAAAAATAGTAACATCCAAAATAACTCTATGTAACTCTTTTATCTAGATCTAGTCTAGAAGTGTGTCGTTTATAGCGACTAAAATAAAACTCTTCATGTAGTTTTAGTGTGGCCAATGCTCAATGTAGTAGTTGATCTTATTTAAATGATAAATAAATCTTAATTTAACGACCTCGGTGGTCTAACGGTTGAACACACAGCCTTACTTTCAATGGTTGCGAGATCCATTTCACGCATGATACATTTGTATTCATGAGTATGATTGTTTGTATTGGTTTGGGTGTCGTCTATATATATATATTGAATATTTATTTAAAAAAATACATTACATATTTGGATATAATCCATCAGTTATTTGGGACTAGATGAAGCTGTGTTAACTATCCTGGGTTACTAGCATTACTTTGAAAATTTTTATAAAAACCAATCTTTTATTTGTGTTGGATAATTCTGTGTAAACGTGTTCGTAATAACTACTCTGTACTAACATTATATTTACATATATATTATATATTTTTTCTAACCATTGAACTTGAACAAGCCTATATATCGAAAAGAAAATATTCATTAAAACTTATTTCGTATGTAATTAAAAAAATCTTCTAGATTTGTAAACGACCTTTATTTTTATTCCTCTGATTATTGTTTACTAACAAAATATAATAAGTACTGGCATAGTCCAAATTGTAAATATAAATGTAATTTAAAATATGAAAAGAATTTAAATTAAATTACCTATATTTTAGAGAGGTATTAAATCGTTCCTTCAATTTATTGCTAGCCACTACACCCTTCTCAAAACGTCAGTCAGTAGGAACCCAATTTGCTATTTCGATTAGGCACAAAATACTATTATACTATTATGTACAATGTGGTTATACTTTAGAGATTTAAAAATATATAAAAAACATAAAAACGTCTTTGAATTCTGTTTATAATAAAATATAATATTTACTCGTGCTTTCAGAAATACCACACAGCAAAATAGTCGCAAACTAAGCAAAACTTACATCGTAGGCACTAGACAACTGACAGACAGACTTCTTTATGTTTGTCCATCTAAATGTCCATCGGAAGCATTCATTGATGGTCACTGCACTTTACACGATGGCTGTAGTAATACAGCAGAATTCCAGAAACTTCATAATAACAAATTCAACCTGGTAAGATCCAGTGATTTTCTAAATTTAACGAGCAAATAATGACCTCGTCAAATTTAAAAGAGTACACTATAAATATGAGATACCATTAAGAAAAAAATACGGCTTATAACTATAGACCCAATTGTTTATATTTTGAGTATTTGATATTCAATTTGAGACAAAATTACTTATTATTATTATTAATTAATTTTTCTTTAAGAATCTGTTTACGATATTTTTAATAAATATATTTAGTTATTTCTGCGATTTTAATTACTATGGTATATTTATTTAAATATTGATAGATATATGTTACATAGTAAAACTATATCTTTCGTTTTTATTAACCAGGACATTAATAAAAATTATGGCCTGTGACATATTATCAGTCATAAACTGACCAAATGCCATAAATTTTTGGTATATATGACATCATAATATTATGCGATAGCGCGGAAAACTAGTGCTCATAAAATGCATATTCTGCTATGTGTATGTTATGTAAAGATAAGTATAGACTATAATATTTCCTTTTACGTTAATATATAAAAGAATTGCGTTCAAATTATAATCGAAGTGCTATAATAAATCTGGATCGACTATGTACAATGTAAACTACGTTGGTCTTTTATCTAATAGATGATTAACCGAAGTAGGTGATTCAGAAGGAGCTTTGTAAGCTATGTTTTAGTTTGAATAAAGCATAAACAGCTTCAATGCTAAAAACACAAATTCTGTATAGTTATAGATATAATCTTATATAAAAATGTAGTTGGCTAAATCCTCCTTTTAAGATTAGAAGCTTATTCCTAGCAGAGAAACAATAATGGATTGTTATAATAACTCTTATAAGGATATTTATATGTATATTAAACATAATAGATTAATGAGACTTCCAAGAACATGCAGGTAGATGTAAAGACTTCCTTAGAAGCAGGATAAATTTATGGAGAGTATTAGTATATCCACGATTCGTGATCCAGAATATGATCGTGATCAATTCGCTGGTGGTCTATCTGTACTTGTTACTTAGCGAAGAGTTTATGACCCTAAAACATGTTATCTAACACCACACGCTTATAAGTACAGAATTCCCGGGTTTAGCTATATGGGAAATCATGCCAAACCTTTTATAGTGTTTTATGTTTTCGTATTATATTCTCTATTTGCTTAGATTTGGTTGAGAATAATCGAATTATTCGAACTTGGAAGTGGTATATATACTGCCGCCTTATAAAGAAAAAATATTATAAGTAGGTTTATTAATAGTGTTACTACTATACTATTAAGAGGGGAGTGGAAGAGAATTGTTAGCAATGAGAAATTATTTTTTTGTGTAGGCATGAATCTGGAATGGCCTTCATTGCCATCATATAGGGATGTTAAAAAATAAGCGATTTTTATTTAAATCGATTATTATTATCTAGTAAACGATTTTTTATAATCGATTTTCATAGTGTTATTAATCGATTTTTAATAAATCGATCATATAAATTACGCGTTTATAATCGATTTTCATAAACAGCGTTTTTACTTATAGTTTCATTTTATTTTAATGTTACTCTTACGTAAAACGATACTGAAAATTAGTGCAAGGAATTAATTTTCGTCTTTTGATTGTTTAAACTTAAAGATATAAAACAAATCTTGCGTTATTGTTTTATATTTTAGTTTTTGAGCCTACAATGTAGTCGTTTAGTTTTTAAATTATCGCTTTCAGTATAATATATATAATATAATAATATATATAATATAATAATATATATAATATATATAATTAATAGAAAAAATTTATAATTTCGCAAAAATCAAAACTTTTTATTTTATTCAAATGAATAATTATTTAAATAAAACAAAAAGTTGACAAATCGATTAATATTAAATAAATAAAAATCAATTTTTATTTAATCGATTCTTTTCCAGTAATCTCACATTCCTGCCATCATACGATGACATGTAACCAGTAACATATCTATAGTATTTGCGGACAAGAGAAGAAAGCATTATGCGTCTCTAGTACACACTGCTGGCGTCGTGTGGCCATTAAGTTGGGAACGGCGAGTCAGAACAGTGGTGTGTGTCTAAGAGCGTATAAGAAGGAAGATAACAGTAGAATATGATAGCACGTTATATATATTTAATGCTAAATATATATAATATTACGCCATTTAAATATTGCTGGATTCAAATATTGATAACAAATGTATCGTAACCGAACGAAGCGCAAGAAAATGTAAACTATGCAGAATATGACTTGAATTTTAACAATCTAATACGAAAACTAATAAGCTAGTAGACTGTACAGTGAACTGCCTGATTTTTCTGCCTGAAAGTTCATAATACGCCTGCAGTTCTGTAAACATATCTTCGCGATTTTAGCAGAAGTGAAGCATAATGGTCTCCAAGGGGAACCGCTACGAATAAACCTGTTATGGTATCCACATTGCTGGTTACTTAGCTACTTATTTCCATTGCTTACATCCTTAACAATATCAGGTCGACCTACAAACTATAGTAGCTAATTCTTTAACGGACCAAGTGATGTGACTTCAACCTCTACTAGTGACCCGCCAGACTATTACCGTAAATGGGACCACGACATAACCATAAAGTCGTACTCTTAATAATAAAATATATTAACTCCAATATTAATTTGGAAAATATATTTTAATATTTTGCAATAAAGTTGATCTTCAAATATTTATAATATACGAGTTAATTCATTAATTTATTAATTATTATTATTTGATGTATCAAAAAAATCTTACCAAAAAGTTGATCGATAAATTTTAATGAAAACAAGAGTTCAAAATTCGGCTATATTCCAATATGGCATAATCAATCAATGAATATAAATAATATTCATGGAGTCTTTGGAACATTTGTAAGGATATTATTTTGTTTCATTTAGTATTACAAAGCTAATTATAGAATTACAAATTATCTTACACGCAAACATGATGACGCATGATCATTAATTAGGGAGAGTAATTAAATAATTCACGTTATGGTAATTTGTATTAGCATAACATGGCATGTATTAGTGTATGAGTCAATAGTTTAAATAATTATATGTATATTCTACGTATATAATTAGTTCCATAATTATTCATTTACATGATCTTGTAAGTATACTAAATTACAGTCTTTCATAATTGAGATGAAAGTACATGTACTCTATTTCTATACTAACTACAGAAAGTAATATTAAGTGGTTATAGGTAACCACTATAGGTACACGAACAGCACCACGGACATCACGTTGTCATGTGACGCCCGTGATTCTATCCAAACCTTGCAATTTCTCTGCCAAATCTCACTCTTCAATTATTACCAAACAAGCTGTTTAAATTCCACGCAAAGTACTTCGTAAAAAGTATATATACCTCGGTGTTAGTAGTAGTGCCATTAAACAACTATACTATGATCGTACATGTAGTAATATGACTTATTAGTACATGTACTTGAAAAAATGAATTTGTTTTATTCTTGTTGTGCTTTCATCCACTAATACTTTAAAGAATAATTATCTACCTATATTTGACATATACGTAGTATATAGGATAAATAGTAGTTATTGGCTACTTTAAATCCGGATTAATCAGTGTTGCGGACGAAATCATAGTAACTTCCATACTAGCTTTTACCCGAGGCTACTTCTATATTGACTTTACAACTCATTCCACTCCCTTTTTGTAGTCATAAGAATACAATTCAATAAATTTTAAGTGTAGTTTAAAAAATCAAACAGCTTATTAAAAATAATTATGCAAAACTTTAACGAAACAGTTAAAAACCATCTTAAAAGTTTCATAATAAAATAATCATTTGCATATTTTAATTTAATTCAATAATATCATGAAACTAATACTAATAGGGTTTAGATAACTGTAGAGCCATTCGATGAATTTGCTACGGGTTTCAGATGATAGATTTAGTCTTATTTGATCATTCAGTAGTACACTACTGAATGATCAAATAAGACTATTTTCCGGTTCTATTTATCTGCGCTATAACGTGAAGACAAGTGGGTCCTTTTGAAGGCATAAAGGACTAAGTGCAATACTTCTCTTACTTGAATGATTTTCATGTCTCGTTCATATACACGCTTACCTATACCTATACTTTCTATTATTATTGTTTAAAATATAGATCTAACTATTCCTATAATTTTATAATAGTGACTTTAGAAGGACATTGGTTAAAAATTATGATAATAAATAGTGATATTATACATGTACATGCTACAAGATCTTTTAAGAGATAATTTTCATTTTATAATATCATTTTTCAGTCAAGAATATACAAGCAAACCGAACTCGTCTGTTATTAATATCTATATTGTATATTATATGTGTAGAACGATCTTTTAGTTTATAAGACACATTAATAAATAGGCAGTAAATACATACGCAAACTTTAGTCAGCTACAATTAAATGCTACATATGATATATACATAATGATTAGCATCGCATACTTAATACAATACCTTAAAATTTAAAGTCTGATGTTAATAATTTGAAATTTTTGAGATAATGATTTCGCTTACCTTCTCAATTGCTTCTTGCTTAATATAACAGTCATAAGCGCTAGATTTGCCGACATCCCCAGGCCGGATAGGGCGAGCAGTGCTGCGGCGCTCGCAGCTCCCCCTGGGGGGCAGTGCCTTGTGTTGTTGAGAATTGAGGAGTTACTCGCACCAGCTGAACCGAAACGTAGGTTTGCGCCTATCATCGCCACCGCTGAGCCTGCTGTAATAAGAAATCTTACTTTTTACAAACTCGTCTAAAGATGAAATCTAATAAAAAATTATTCATGTAGAATATTTTAGCCGCTTATGAACGTCATGTTTTTCGTTAATATATATATTTTTTTCAAAAGCATTTACATTGTACAGTCATTAAAGACACTGCTACTCGTATGTTTAACATTAAATGAAAATCCTATGAACAACTATTGCCATGCACGTTTGTCGTTTAAGTAATCGTGTGAGTTGTTAGCTTTGCACAATAAATATGATTTAACAGATGTTTTGAATATATTTATAGATAATTCAGTATATCCTTTGGTATCTTATTGCAATTTTATATAAAGAACTTTACAGAGTTAAAACACTATATGTATATAAACGCAAAAAGATATAACTGTTACGGATACAGTGCATCGGAAAGTGGGTATAGATATGTATATGAATTACTAACTTAGTCTATATAAGTTATGAACTGACCTTATATGGAACATCCGAAATAACTCTTAATAATATCCATTATAAACGCTAAAGTTTGTAAATATGTATGTTTGTTACTCTTTCACGAAAAAACTACTGAACGGATTTTGATGAAACTTTCACGCTTTCAACTTTGACGAAAAACACGTGGGTGAAACCGTGGGCACAGCTAGTAAATTATATTTTGAAAGTTGGCACTACTCTTATAAGAATGAAACCTAAATTAATTGTCGGTTTGCATCATGTGGGTTGCAGCTTGATTGCTATTTCGGTGTCGTAAAAAAATATAATTTATGTAGTATTGAAAACGAGAGTTTATTACAGAGATATAACAATTTTGAAAAGGTTCTACAAAAAAATTTATTTAGAATTGCGCTAGAAATGCGTGTGAAACATTACTTATATTAAATAGAATACTTTAAAGGAATTCGTATCGTCATCTCAAATGAAGGCACATACTACATATTGTATTACCATTGCACATACAACATATTTACTTTATCCTAATGTATGTATAAATTTCGTGACCCTAATGTAATTATTTTAAACAAAAATATTTTCTATTTTAGTGAATAATATAATAAGAGATCAATGAACTGCACAAATACATATTACTTTAACTGCCGTAATTAATGCCGGATCCTACTCTCGCTAGTTCGTCCGCGGCGTCATTGCCATATGTAATGATCATATGGCGCCCACTGATTGTATAGCATAATGCTTGACTAGCAAGTTGGTGAATATTGCCCTAAAGCTGTAACTAATCGCTTCTAACTGTTATGAATATTAATATTTTGTTGTTATATATCGCTTAAATATAAGCACGGATAACAAGTTCAGATGCAAAGAATATCTTCTTGTTTCATTCTTTCTAGAGCTTGATTATTCAGTGGTTACTACTTCTAATTATTTGGTGCATGTGCATATCCATATGATAGACCACACAACATTAAAAATATTGTCGATACTAATATTATAAAGAGGAAAAGTTTGTTTGTTTATTGAATAGACTTCGAAACTACTGGACCGATTTGAAAAATTCTTTCACCATTAGGAAGCTACACTATCCCTGAGTGTCATAGGCTATATTATATTTCCAAAGAAAATTAGAGATCCTTACTAAAACTCCAATAATGTAACCCAAGGTGTACAAAAATTACATAAAAAATACCTAACACTGCGTGCGCTGCGAAAAATATATAAGCCGCTATAAAGTATAAAACAATTTCGCTTCCCGTTGTCTATCTGTACCTACGTATGTTTTGATCTTAAAAAGATACGCGAATTTTGATAAGTTTTTTGTAATAGACAGAATAGATAGAATGACTCACGATGAAGGTTTACGCTATATAACATCCCACTACTGAGCAGTATAACCTATAGTCCACGCGGGCGAAGCCGCGAGCGGAAAGCTAGTTATTTAATATATGACTAATTTCACGTTTAACATACCAGATATCAATTAAAACGGTTCAATAATATTTCATTAGTCAATTTATGATAGTTATAGTAGTTCAATCATCCAATCATAATCTTCCATTTAACATCAACATAGTCGGGTAAGAAAAATGAAAAACGGTCAATCAATAATGTATATATTATTTACAAGGTTATTTTTTGGAATGTGATTAGCCCTAATTCATAATTTGCCATGGAAAATTATTAAATTAATCATCATATTCTACAATTTATTTCATTTAAGAAAAGTTAAGAGTTAAGAAAAGTTGTAAAAATTTAAAATTACGGAAAAAGATTGTATTTTATAATATTATACACGTAGAAAAATCGTGTGTGAGACCTGAAGAATAATCTTTGTACAATATAAATTTGGATATTTTCGTATTTCATAGAATTTTTACATCGTCATCTTTTTTTTGTTACATATTCATAATTTCTTTTCTTTTTAATGTACATATGTATTACTTATGAAAGTAATATAGTATCTATAAATTTAGTTTATTAATGAACAAACATTATCTAAATGAAAACTAAACTATATTAATATTACGTTACATAAATTTTCTTTACAATAAAAATAATAATACTGAATAAACAATCTTAGGAGGAATATTTATATTTAACACTTCTTATGTAATTTTATGCAAACAGTAACAATACAATTTTATAACAGGGTCATCTACGCAGTGACTTTGATTACCGTATAAATTTAAGCGACTGATTTCGCCTGCAGTCGACCACGTCCCATTGATTCCATCGATAAGACGAACAGTACCTTCAAAAACACCATTGCCAGGTTTAGTGTGCACTACTATCATAAACTCTCGATATCCTATCTTAGACCCTTTTTGCTCCTTAGCAATTTTTTCTGTTGCCTCTAAGATTTCTATGAGTTTAAGTGAAGCACACTTTATATATTTCGATAAAATCTTATTTAGATGTTTCAATAAATAATTAGATGATGCTACTGCATAAGCACTGTCTTTTGGTATATTAATATCTCGTTGACAAGTGCACCAATGGTCTTTGATGCCAGCCATTTTACAGGTCCTATTACTTGGTATCGGTAAAAATAAGCTAATTCCTCTATTACCTGCGTAGGACATTGTTTTTCTAGACTTTATCTTTTTATTTACAATATTATCTAAGTCAATCAAATCTGATAATGTCTCGTAGATATCAAAGGGCGTAGTAAGCCGTTCACTATTTAATTTGAAATTATTGTAGGCTTCAGTATATGTTTCTTGGAATGATGGCGGTACTAACGCGAATACAAGAGGTAATCTTTCTTCCAAATATCCTTGCTTTGTAAATCTAATACCACCATATCGTATACCATGGTCACTAACTAAAAACAAAATAGTGTTTTTTAAATAATTAGATTTATCTAGTCTTTCAAATAGATCTACGTAATCGGTATCCATTACCATCGGGTAATTTAGATAATCATGACTCATTGTAATTTCCCAAAAGAAACCAAATAATTTCGACGAATTTAATGTACTTGTCAAATTTTCAATATAATTCAAAAGAATCTTATAAAAATATTTGTTACTTAAACACAAGTACGAATTGATGTCACGATTATTACCACCTCTTTTTTCAGCTTCATTTATAAATGTATGTAGATAATAGTCAGTAGGAGTATCGACAAATCCTCCTCTATTGTAATTAAATGTACCTAAACTTGAACTGTCTTCCCCTAGAGCTGTGTAATAACCAGCTTGCTTAAAGTATTCCCAAATAAATGGACAATTGTCGAGTCTTGCTTTATTATATGGAAGACATGTATGTCTTAGTTCTTCGTGGGCAATGCCTAATAACATTGGGATTATGTTTGGAAATGAATTATCGCCGACTTTATTGTATCCAGCCAATTCTATTGCTCCCTTTGTTTTTAAATAGGCCAAAGTTTTTGGCATTGTTCTATAAAAATTTAACCTCGAAACAGCATCGATTCCCATAATTAATATATTGTAAGCTGTTTTGTTTTTTAGAATTTCTACTTTATTATTGTGTACTAAAAAATCTTTCTTAACAGCAAAAACAAAAAAATTATTAGAGATCAAATCTTGTTCAAAATTGCAAGTGACTCGTACAAATTCGTTTTTTACCTCAATTACTTCAAAAAAATAAGTACAGTTTTGATATTCAATTCTGTTATCAACTTTGGGTGAATGGATATCTTCTATAAATTTTGGACGAAAGAATGCTGTATAACAACATCGGATTTTTTTGTTGTCTAGGCTTACATTGTATTTGGACATCACTTTTTTTTTATTTATCCAGATGTGTGTTTTATTATGTTCTACCATAGAAATATTGTGGTCATTGCATTTTTTTAATTTTTTAGGATATTCTACGAATTTTTTGATAGAATCATCAAACGGATTCATTCTAGGAATAACGCAACCTTCAGTTTTGATTGTATATTGCTTTTCATAATGCACTTTCTCTTTAACTTTCGTGTAGAGCGAAAAAATATAATTTTTGTAACGTGTACTAATGTGATTGTTAACATAAGCAATGTAGAAGAAACAGGTACAGGTTAAAATAAATATAAATACCATATACTTGTGGCGTGCTGTCAAATTATTACTATTTAGAAAGTTTCTATTCCTAACTCGAGCCATATTTAAAATTAAAAAATCAGTATTAACTATTCCTTGCAGTAATACGAAAATTTAAATGACTATTATCCCACCACATTAGATTGCAACATATTCAGCACAATTTGAACATCACTTTTGATTATTATAATGAAAATAAATAGACTGAATGTATGAACAGTTTTAACTAATATTAATAACTGAATATCAACATACGACGTAACATATTGATAATACCAAGTTAATCAATGATTTTTTAAAGATAATGTGATATATGTTCTAGTTTATTTATTAAAGATAAGGTGCTCACTGCACTTACAGATAAACCAAAGCGTGCAGTGAGCCAATAATATAACATAACGAATAATATAATTACATAAAAAACAACAAACAACACTTAATAAACTTATTAATATTGACGTGAAAAATATCGACCTCTGGCAGCTCCGAAACCAAG